GACCTTTTGCTCTTCCCTACGGTAGACTTTCCCTCTCTATCATACACAAAGCAAACAGAGTCCCGTGGTAGTTCCAGAAGGAAAGAAACATTATCATTAGTGGAACTTGCCAGTATCCACATGCTGAGGACGAGGAGGGCGTGCGCTTTCCATCTTCATGGAAGATGTCTAACCTGTTCTTATGGCCGTTCGCACAAATACACAAGCTGTCTAGGGCCGGACCAGTCCTGAGAACACTCAGCCTCAAGTGTTCTCAAGCCCAACTGATGACTCACAGGGGCTTGTCAATCACCTGCCACAATTACTAAGGATTACTTGTCATGTGTGCATTCCCCTCCTTAGAATTCCTTCATGCAAAGAGCATCTGTCTCGCTAGGATGTCTTTGCCTTAATTATAGTTGCACACAGTAACTCCTACCTTTGCGCCCATTTCCCAGGGACTTGCAGGCCACCATTACTTGCTCTCTCCTGCTATTAGGCATTTCTGTCTCCACACCTGGCTGCAGGACTGCCTCCACGGCACACAAGCTGTGCAGATATGCAGGCCCCACGCACAGAAGGACCCCCGGCTTGGTTTAATTCGTTGCTGTTGCTGAGCTGAAATGCTTCAGAGTTTTTTAAAAGAGGCTCCCCACTTTCATTCTGCACTGAGCTCCATAAATTACGCATCTGGTCCTGTCTAGAGGGCTAAGTGCTTCACGGCGTGTTTCTGTCAAGCCCTGCCTACACATCCCCAAGATGGGAGCCATTCTGATCATCATGATCATCTTCCCCAGTCATTCACTCGGCAGGGTGATGATCACAAACTGCAAGCTTGAGCAGCCCCAAAACACTTTGACATCTGATTACAAATAACTGGTTTGACCAAAAGTCAAGCTTTGGCCTCAGCCATATAGGTTCTCGTTGTCTGTCATCCTGCCAAGTACGCAGATAGGCCCTCACTCCTTCCAGGCTCCTTCGGATTTACAAACAATACCACCTCCAAACACCGGTTCATAAAGTTTCCCATTCTATAAGCTTAATGTGTTATTCAGAATTTAACAGTTTCCTTAGCATAATTTGATTAAGGGTGTGCAGAATTGCATCAGCTGTAATAAAAGTCAAGCCCTGTAATTTCAATTATTAAACACTTGTACGGGAGCCTGTACCCGAGCAGCTCAGTGGCTGTGAGCTGGAACTGCACACGTAGCAGCTGGGATGTCCAGAAAGGAGGGAAAGGATCCCGTGACAGATCTGAAAGGGCCTCCTCAAGGTGAGTGACAGAGGGGTCTGTCAGCTGCACATTTGCCTCAAGCCATCCCGTGACGCAGCTCAGGTCGATCCTCGCACTGCGATTGTCATTCACTAGCTGTCCACACCGGACCCTGACACAGATCTGTCAGAGGTTCTGATAGAATCATTGGCCACTCACTCTCCCGAGGCCCAGGATCAAAAGCATCCCTCCCCACATACCTCTCCGCTGGCACTTAGTCTCTTTTCCAGAACTGAAGACAGTGCAGGAACTCAGTTACCCCTGTGGGTGCGCGTGGGTGTTGTGTGTGTGTGGTGGGGGGGGGGGTAGGAAAGTGACACCTCGGCCTCATTCACGACTACAGATAAGACGAGCCTTTTTATTTCCCTCTCGGTCTTTCTCAAGTCATCTCTAGAGACGGGGTTTCAAACATGATCTTTATTTCATTGCTCAGACCCAGGGAATATTAATTAACAGCCTCACTCAGATTCACATTAATGTCACACCGACAGCGTAATCCAGCCGCAGCTATACCGTTTGCAACGTGAAATCCTGGACAGACCTGGCCACAGGCAGCCAGGGATGCCCGGGAACAGGCCGCCTGGGTCTCATTCAGCGTCCACAATGGGCCAAACTCCCTGAAAGTAACTCTTCCTATGCCTGGCTGAAATCCACCTCCCGGTCCTTTAAACTGTACATTCGAAGCACGCAAAATAATAAATAAATATTACGACCTTATCGCCCTCCCTTGAGTACCAAGGCAGCATTTGTTCTGCAGGGATGTTTCGATCCCTGCCTTTATCTTGTTAAAGCAAGTGGGGAAACAAATAATAAACGCCAAACCAAATAATAAACGCCAAACCCCTCGTTTGGAAATGTTTACTTCTTCTCCACGCTCAGAAATTCTGCATTTTTGTTCCTAATTCATCTGCGGGAAATCCTAGCCTCTACCGGGCCACCGTGGAAAAAATCGAAGATGTTCCCGTTGCCCACTCCCCACATCTTAGTAGAGCCCAGGGCCCCCTTTCTCCGGCCAACTTGGGGGGAACGGCCTGAAGGTTTTTCCAAACAGGTAACACATTCTTTCCACTCTTTCCCTTCCGAGCGCTTTGCAATTTTGATAGTTCTGTGTTTCATTCACTTACTCGTTGAGTGTTTATCAAGGACTCCCTAGGCGGTGGACACCAGAGGGCAGAGGATTTGCCCCAGCCCCTGCCTGCAAGACATCCACGAGTCAGCCTGAATGAGGCCATTGAGGGCCTCTGAGCTCCCTGAAATTCAAGCCCCAGCCGGTGCCACTGCCTTGTTCCAAACTCATATTTGTTGACTAAATGCACCCGGTAGACTTCGTTATTTATAAATAGAGCTTTCTAATTAACAAAGGCATTCCAAAGGCAAAGGGGTAGCTCAGGCGTGCTATCAGCTGAGCAGAATTTGAAAATAAAAATCACTCCGATAACCTGCTCTGAAGATTTCCTCCCGCCGATGGCCAGAGCGCCAAGTTGGGAAATCTGAAAGGATCTCCTTTCCATGTGCTGCCTCAGAAACACGCACGGGCTCTGTTGCAATTTGTTGTGGCACAGGTCTGCTTGCACCAGGGGCTGACAGGAGCTTATTAACACCAAAGGGAGAAAAAAAAAAAATGCTGCTCTCCTTCTCAAACCCGTGGAAGCTGAATGTCACTGATACGGCTAGCTCGGCTGTTAGGGGCAACTACACCTGTCTTGCTTTCCTAGAATGCAGTTAGGTACGAATCTCCAGGAGCAACAATTCACCTTTGCAGATCACAGAGCAGCAGAGTGGAGAGAACGCATCTGCCACAAACAAGGGCATCGGGCAGAAACCCCGTTCAAACACAGCAAGGAGACAAATATTGGTGTTTATGCTTAAAATTTCATCTGAGCAGAAGCCACAAATGCTCTGCAGGCTGCAAAGGCTCCACGCAGCATCCAATATTTTCTTAAATACAAGATCCCAAAACATCGCAATTCTACTTTAACCCCAGGGACCTAGATATACTGAGGGAAGAATGAATTCAACTGTTTGGAAATCCTTCACTCCAAAACGAAGCATGAATTTCACCGTGATTAAGGGCTGAGAGCTGATTTCTAACGCCACATGAAATTTGTTTTCAGATGGTTATTTTATTCGGAATGGTTGCTTTTTAATGATGCTGCCTTGATTTCCTGTTAAACCTGTTTCGTCTGTAGTCATCCAACATTAATATTTATTTTGTTCACTTACTTTTAAAGTATTCTTAAATTAAAGCTATCGCAAATATTCTACTGCGGCCGATGATAATTCAGCAGAGGTGCTAACCATGAAAATATCATAGAAAACATGATCAGTGTGTTATAGCCGTAATCCGGTTTAATAAACACAGCACTATAAACTACTTTAGGACATTAGGAACTAACCATTCTAGCGTGTGTTATAAAACCCACTGCTAAACACAACTGCTTTTTTTTTAAACTTCTGTGCTTTTTTTTTTTCATCTTGAATTCTTAACAGTGTAGTTAGATTTCACATTGTAATAAATATTATACTTGAGAATCATCTTGTGTTAAAGTCTTTCCCATGTACATATTATTCTCCATCACATTTCCCTTAAAATCCCCAGCATTGAATCAACACAGGTTGGCCTACAAGAGGTTTCACAATAAATTATAGTAAAATAAAGCCATGATGTTATTGAACTTGTACCGTATATAATGAGATAAATAACTACACTGCCTCCTGTTCCTGTTCGGGCTTTGTGACTTCATATTGTAATGTGACATTCCACAGAATGCTTCCATAGAAATAGGCTCAGGACAGCAGCACACCATTGCCACTACAGGAAAACTGGCATGGTTTTCTCCCTGGAAAATACCAAATCTCCAAATCCAACACACTTACTCATAATTCATTTTCATTTCCTCTTTCCCAGAATTCATTTTCATATCTAAAAGAGGCTCTTGGCTGAAGCCTTATACTGTCTGCAACATGTTATAGCTTCTTGCAATTTTACTTTTAGGAAACACAGTGAGGAAGGAAAAGTAACGCACCCCCATGGGCATCCCAAGTTAAGCCATTATAAATTCACATTCTGTTTTGCACTCCTGTGAATGGGAAGCGAGGAAGAAAAGGAAACGCCTGCGAGTGCCCTTATGGTTCTCAGGTAAAACTTCCTTTTCAAATGCCTCCATGTACTACTGTGTCACAGGCAGAAAAACACTCCAGACATAGATACTTGTCATTTTTCTAACCAAAGAAGTTGCTACAGTCGTCAACAATACGTTCACGCAGATTCTTTGAGCTCTGTGTTTTAATCAGTAGAATTTTTTGTTCTTATAGACTTTTCTTCAAAAAAAAAAAAATCCTTTTTCTGAACTAACCTCAGAACCAAAACAGGTCTCTGCTTCAAGGTTCCCCAGTCTTAACTGAACAGTAATCAAAACCGACTGCCTGCAAATCCCCAAGGGGGGTCGCTTCTTCCTTTCTGAGCTCAAAGTGCAACAGGAAAGTAGTGGGAGCTTTTCCCTCCACTGCCTTGCTTGGGGTTTTTTTGCCTTTAGAATTTGAAGGTTTGTTCCCATTCCTGCGCACCTGACAGGCTGTGATTTACATGCGAGAAAACAACTCCAAGGTTCTCATGGAGGAGTCAGAAGCTGCTCCCACCCATCTCAGCGGTTTTCTAGGAAACAGACTGGGAAAAGGGGGTCGGGGGGAGGGGAAGCAAATTCCGTCTGAAGCTGCACAGGTAAACCCAAAGTAATGGAGGCAGATAGTAAAAAGAATATTATTTATTATCTTTTTTTTTATTAATACTCACGAATAACCTTTGTTTTTTTTTTTTTTTTTAACACAATCTACTTTTAGAAGAATGCCTCCTTGGTTTATCATGCCCAATCCGGAGCTCTGAGCTCCTGGACGACTTCTCCTTTCTCCACCCCACCCCTCACATCCAAATTACTCTTTTACATGTTCACAGATACCACGAACGTTTTGTAAACAAGATTTAGGGGACTGGGCCTTGATGGAATCAACATCCCACTTCAAAGCGGAAGGCGGGTAGGAGAGAGGGGAGGAGAAGGGAGGAGAGGGGAGGAGAGGGGAGGAAAGGCAGGGGAGTGGAGAGGAGGGGAGCGGGTCAGAACTTTCAAGTCTTGCCTTTTCTGAGATGGGTGTGTATTGTGGCTGTTCCTTGAAATTCAATGACTCAAAACATTGACAGCAAGTGCCTGTGTGGTTATTTATATTATATATCTATAATAGAATATGTGGGCTTCCTCAGTTTTGGGTCTCGGCTGTTTTGTTTAAATACACCACAGTCCTCCCGTGGGTGTTGTCTCCACAGGGAGTCGGGTCTCCCAGGAAACCCTCTCAGAGCCGGGGCTTGCGGAGCAGGGTCTTACTGAGGTCTTTGACCTCCTCGGGGCTATTGACCCGCTCGTAGCCCAGCACCGCCATGGGCTGGTAGCAAAACTCCTCCACCTGCTTGATCTGCTGGAAGGTGAGGGCCGTCCGCCAGGCGTTGGCGGCCTGCGTGGCATTGCGCGCCGACACCACGAAAGGCTTGGAGGAGGAGCCCGAGCCGCTGGTCATGTTGAGGGCAAACTGCTCCATTTCGGGGCTCACCAGCAGCCCCACAAAGTCGTACACCCGCCGCAGGGTCTTGACGGGGTCTCCCACCAGGTCCTCGTACCGCACTACCAGGTAGTGGCCCTGCAGCCAGTCGGGGGGCTGCAGCGCCGTCTGCAGCGTCTTGGCCATGCTGTTGCAGATCACCTCCATGGCGCCAAGCGCGTGGTAGTCCGCCGGGCCGCCCACGCCCTCCTTCTTGACGCCCAGCTTGTGGCCGGCGGCCTCCAGGAAGGGCATGCGGTGGGCTCGCGGGTCCCGGCTGCGCACCACCTGGAGGCTCTCGCGGATGAGCCCGTGGCGCGAGCGGATGCGCGAGCTGGCCACGGCGCGCGGATCGCGCACCAGGTGGATGACCTTGAGGTCCAAGGCAGGGTCGCGCAGCAGCGGCGCCAGCACGGCCACGTCGAAGACACGCACGCCCTTGATGACCAGCGTGCGGTACTTGCGGCACTCCTCCTCGAAGCGCGCCAGGCGCTGCGGCGGGCACTTCTTGCACACGCGGTCGTCCACCAGCCCCACGACCTCCTTGCGGTAGGCGGGGCAGAGCGGCGACGAGCACACCACCTTGTTGGTGGCCGCGCCGAAGATGCCCAGCGTGGTGAGGTTGCGCCCCCCGCTGCCCGCGGGGCTGTACAGCTGGAAGACCGAGAGGTCGCAGCGGTAGAGCGCGCTCAGCATGTCCCGCGCGGCCCCTTGCAGGGAAACCGCGTCCCCCGGGTACAGTTTTTGCCACACGTGCCACACCGGCTCGTAGAGGAAGAACACCTCGGGGTTCTGGTTGAAGAGCTCACCGAAGAACGATGAGCCCGAGCGCCACGTGGTGAACACGTACACCAACTGCCTCTTGTCTCCGCCGGCCCCGGGGCCCCGAGTGCCATTGCGGGGAGGGGCCCCGGCCCCCGCGGCCCCCGCGGCCCCCGCGGCCCCGGCTGCTGCGCCTGCGGCTGCGGCGGCGGCTGCGGCGGCTGCGGCGGCGGCGGCGGCTGCAGCGGCGGGGGCCGCCCCGACGGCGGCAGGAGGGCGGAACGGAGTACGGGGGTCCAGGCGGGTGTGTGCGCGGGGCGGCGCCGCCGGGGGGGGGCCCGGGCGCCCCCAGCCGCCCCCAGCCGCCCCCGCCGCGGCGCCCAGCGGCCCGTCGGGGCTGCACTGCTGCAGCGGCTCCTTGTGCCACTTGTAGTCCAGGAGGTTGAGCATGGTGAGCACCAGCAGCAGCGCGTAGCCCGCGCACAGCACCAGCGCCTTCCTGCGGAACACCTTCATTCCGAGCGGGGACGCGGGCCAGCGACGGCCCGGGCGCCGGGGCCACGGCGAGAGCAGGGCGCGCGGCGCGGCTGCAGGCGCGGCCGGGAGCAGCCGGGGGGGCGCGCCCGGGGGCAGGGCTCGCGGCGGGCTGCGGCTCATCACAGGCACAGCCGGGGCCCGCGGCGCGGCGGAGGCGGCCCTGCAGCCCAGGACCGGGACGCGGCGGGCCGGCTTCGGGCGCGGGGACTGGGGCCGCGGCTCCGAGGCGGGCGCGGCGGCAGCGGCAGCGGCGGCTGGTCCCCGACGCCCAGGGCGGGCTCTCCCATGGCAGCGGCTCCGGGAAAGACCTGCGAGGGCAAGCGGAGGGAGCCCGTGAGCCCCAGTCCTCCTCCCCGTGCGCCGCCTCCACCTGCGTAACGCCCACCCTCGGGTCCGCCGGGCTCCCCCGCTCACCTGGAGCCGCGGGCGCGCCCCGGAGCCGCCCGGGATCACGGCCGGCTGGTCGGTGCTGCTGCCGCCCGTTCCCCGACTTCTCGCGCACGGCCTGTCCCGGGAGTCCCCGGCTCACGGGGGGCCGCGGGGCCGTGCAGCCCACGCCCCGGGCAGTTTCCGGCCGGCGGGCGCCCCGCGGCTCGGGCAGGGAAACTTTCACGGGGCCTGGAAGCCCGCTCCGCGCTCCGCCGAGCCCCGCGCGCCCGGCTCCAGGCGCCTCCGCCGCCCTCTCGAGACCGCAGCTTCCTTCCTCGCCCCGGGGGGCGAAGCCGGCGGGGGGAGGGGGCTCAGGCGGGACCCAGCTCCCGGCAGGGCGGCTCCGCCTTCCTCGCTCTCGGCCTCCGCGCCCGGAATCTTCCCATCCCTCCGGCGGCGGTGGATGGGGCGCAGCGCGACCCCGCAGCGGTGGCGGCGGCGGCGGCGGCGGCTTCTCCCATCACTCGGAGGATGCCCGGGCCGGCATCGCCGGCGGCGCCCGCCGCTCCGCAGCCTCCGACTGGCCCGGGAGGGCTCGCCACGCACAGCAGTCGGCCGGGGAGCCCGAGTCCGCAGCGCTCCCTTGCCGGCCCGCCCCCCGGCACCAGCCGCTCCGGGCCAACGAGGTCTCGGGGCAGAGGAAGCCCCCGCCGCCGCCGCCGCCGCCGCCGCCGCGCGAAAGCGGCGCCCGGGAGGATGCTGCTACCCGACTCCCCCTACGCCGAGCGGCTGCAGCGCGCCCGGGCCAGCCTCTGCGCGCTCCTGCCAGCCTGCGCCGGGTTGGTGCGCGCCGCCGTCCGTCGCCGCGGCTCCTCCCCCTCGCCGCGCCGCCCTCCTCCTCCGCCCGTCCCGCGCCCGCCCCCTCGCCGAGTCGGGCTCCCGCCGCCGCCGCCGCCGCCGCAGCAGCCGCCGTGGGGGCTGGAGGTCGGGGCTCGAGTCCCCGGACGCCGCTCGGGCCGCCGCCCCCACGACCCGGGCCGTAGCTCCTCCTGGGCGCGGGCGCGGGCGCGGGGCTCGGAGAAACTTGGGAGACGCCTTGCGGCTGCCGGGCTCAGCCGCACGTTTCTGCGGTCGGAAAGAGCCGGCGATAAAGTTTGGGCAGGAGCCCGCACCCCCGCCCCCCGCGCCCCCCAGCGGCCGCCCCCTCGGCTCCCCCTCGGCGTCGGCACCGCCCGCCCCTCGCGGGGCCCAGGACGCCCCCGGGCCCGGTGCGCGCTCCGAGGACGCCGAGCGCCGCTTGCAGGCTTCCCGCTCCCGGCTCGCGCGCCCCGGCCGGCCTGCGGCTTCTAGAACCTCGCCGAGGAAGTAATAAATCTCCCTGGCCCCGGGGTCAGAGAAGACGCCTCAGTCTCGGGGAGGAGTGCGCAGGCGGGGCGCCGCTTGGGTCCCGCCGCCCCCCGCACCTGCTCCCCGGGCCGCGGCGCGTAACGACGCGTCCGCCGAGAGCGAGCGCTCGGGACCTGGGGTGGTGGCGGTCGGGGGGACTCTGTGTCCCAGTTCACAGGAGGAGTCCTGCCTTGCTTCTTGCCTTCACAGATGAGCGCAAATGATTCGGCCAAAAGGAAAGCCGGTCTTTGGAAGTAAAACGTGATTTTGAGTTGGTTTGAGTTTAGTTTAAGTTCTTTTTTTAAAAAAAAAAAAAAAGTGAAAAATCTCTCGCCGGCTCGCGCTCTCTCTCTCTCTCTCTCTCTCTCTCTCTCTCTCTCTCTCTCCTCTCTCTGTCGAGAGAACCGGAGACGACTAAGCCATACCCTCACGTGCATCCGTAAAATAGGGACGCGAATCCGAGCATCCAGGAATTCGACGGTGATTGGGTGATTTACGATGATCAAACCCCCTGGGGGCCTTGCGTAAGTTGCCGCAAAACCCTGGGAGTCCTGAAGCTCTCGAGCTGCCCGTAAACAGAGCCCTGATCTCCTGGAGGATGTTCTGTTGCCTCCTGCCCCACGAAGTTTTTGGAAGTTTGACAAAGTCGCTGCAAAATTGTATTTGTACTATTTTGGGTAGCTTCTCTCAGCCAGAGGATCCTTCTAAATTTAAGATGTTGCTGTTTGCGCTATTATTCCTCCCTGAGTTTTATAGACTCTTAGGAGTGCAAGGACTCTTGGAAAGTGACTTCACTCACGTGGGTTTTCAGAATAGAAAGATGTTCAAAGAGCTTGACCTAACCGCATTTTCTAGTAAAAAGCCACAAGGCCCGAGTAAGTTGATTTTTACTTTTTCCCCCTGTGGTTCTGATACAGGGTGAGGATGAGGTGTTCCTAGGACAGGTTTTATGCCATTAGGTGAGGCTTTCTCAACTGGCAAGCGCATCACCTCTAGGAGCAGGTCAGACGCGTCTTTAATCCCTGTTCACAGGAAAGTGGTAGAGTCTAACTGAGTGACTTCCCATCACTCCATCGCTGGCCCACCCACCTCCCTTCCCCTGCTGTCTCAAAAGTCCCTGTACCGTTTCCCCACACTCACAAAAAGAATAAGTGATACTGGCTCATTAAAAGAGAGAGGGGGGATCCCTGGGTGGCGCAGCGGTTTGGCGCCTGCCTTTGGCCCAGGGCACGATCCTGGAGACCCGGGATCGAATCCCACGTCGGGCTCCTGGTGCATGGAGCCTGCTTCTCCCTCTGCCTGTGTCTCTGCCTCTCTCTCTCTCTCTCTCTCTCTCTCTCTGTATGACTATCATAAATAAATAAAAATTTAAAAAAATTATTAAAAAAAAAAGAGGGAGTAGTGGAGGAAAGAAAATCTCGATCTTACTATTCGGCATGATTCCAAGGAAAGTCATTTCTAGTATTTTTAATTTAGTCTCCGGCTTTGTGGTTACTCAGAAAGCACCATGAGTTGCAGTTATTTGATGTAAGACCCTTTTCTAAACAATCGTTTGCATAGAGACAATTTTGTTGCAATTTTCTAACATTTTACTAGAGTTGGCAAACTAGTCAGCTTGCCGTTCGCCCCCACAGTGAGTGCTCAGATGTGAGTGCTCAGCTGGCATAAATTTACAGGTTCCGACATCTCCACCCTCTCCTTGCTTGCAAATATTTTGCCATTCTGCATGGTGTCATGATTAATTCCAAACTTTGTGGCAACTAATGACATCCGAAGACATGATAACGCCCTCCTTCCCGTATTTGTTCAGAAATTCTTTTTTATTTTAACCCATTTGTCTTTTTAGCATAGTAATGACCCAGACATACAATAAGTCACATAATCATTTCATTGGCAGAGGAGCCAGTCATGCCGCAAGGCTGTCCTTGATTCAGCTTGTTGTTTAGTTTAGCAATTCAGAGTATTTTGCAGGATGCTCCTTTAGTCTCTCTTCTTTGGTGCCTATGATGTGGAAAGCAACCGCTATTGGAAAGTTGCCATGACTTTTGCCCAATCCTGGACAAATAGGGGCCTAACATCCCTGGGGTGCTGTAGGCTTAGTACCCGGCCTGTCGAATAGGGCAGAAAAATCTTCCAAGACCTTCCTCCATCATCAGGATTGGAGAAGAAAAAAATGTAAGGGTGGGTCGTCTGGACAGCTTCTGGCCAAGCCTGTCAGTGTCACCGGGGCCTGCAAGATTCAACTTTGGGAAATATCTGCTCCTGGACACCAATATAGATTGACTCACTCAGATTTTCAACAAGTGTGCATTTTCAGTGGACTTAGCGCACAGAATTGGATTAATCACAATCCTTGATTTAAAACAACCATCATTAGTCCAAGGATGGCCCTTTCCTATTTTATATGATTTTAAATAATATAATGAGTACTCGTGAGCCCTTTATAGAACCCAGAAACCTCCAGAGATAGCCACTCTACTTACTTGAGTTTAAAAAATTTTAATGAAATGGTTAAGTTCCGAGAAAAAAAAAAAAAAAAGCTTGCCTTAATTGTCAAAAAAGAAATAGCCTAAATAGTCATGACTATTAAGGAAATGAAGCAGCCATTTAAAATCTTTCCATAAGAAAAACAACAGGTCCAGAGGGCTTTATCAGATTTTCTACCAGACTTCCAAGAGCTAGATCATTTCTCTCCTACACAAATTCTTCCAGAGAAGGAAAAAGAGGGAATACATCCCCCTAACTCATTCTAAGGGCCTGATAACTAGAGATTTCAAAGGAGGAAATAGGTCCTTTTCATTGACTAATGTAGATATCAAACTCCTAAATAAAATACTAGCAAAACAAATCTAAGACAGTGTGGGAATAAACAGAGAAGATTGACAAAAAAGCCTTGGAGTTTCTTCCTGCAGATTTTCCTTCCTGACATCAGGGACAAGCTAACTGGACAAGGACATGTTCCCCTGCCACAGCCAGAGACACCACCTCCTCGAGTCCACCAGCCACTTCTCTGCTGCCTGTATGGGCATCCTCCTGGGTACTGCTGACCCCCATCCATTCTCGCTTCCTTTGGGAACAGTGTCTGAACCACCACACCCAATTGAGTGTGGCTTTTCTTTTTTTAAGCTTTTTTATTTACTTATTCATGAAAGACACAGAGAGAAGCAGAGACTTAGGCAGAGGGAGAAGCAGGCTCCCCAGTGGGACTCAATGGATCACAGGATCCCCGGATCACGACCGGAGCCAAAGGCAGATGCTCAACCACTGAGCCACCATGGAGTCCCTGATTGTGGCTTTGATGGGAGCTTAAGCCAAAGTATTCCTCTTCTCCTCCAGAGGGATGTGAGACCCAAACTCAGCAAGTTAAACGTTCTGTCCATGAAAGCTCCATTCATTCATTCATTCATTCATTTGATCTACATGTATTGAACTCCTACTATGTGCCAATCTGAGCCTCCATCAGAGAGACTGGAAAACAGAAAACAGTTGCAGCCCCCTCATCCCAACAGTGAAGTCCTAGAGAGATGCCCTGTTACCCTTTTAGGGGGGGGGGGCTGTCTTTAAACCTATTAACTTGGAGGGTTTTTTAGATCCTGTAAGCTACTCCAAATGCATCCACAAATCCTCCCTCCCCCCCCCATTAAGTTTGTCAGAATCTGTTTTTGTTTCGTACAACCAAGAATTCCTAATTGACATGGTGTCTTACTGCCTAATTACAGATTTAATTTCATTCAGGCTTTGTCTTTATGCCTTATTCTCCACCTGCCCTCAAAGCCGTGCTTTCACTTTGGAGCTTCCACCTTTAAATTCTAGTATCTAGCCAGGCCCTCACATAAGCATCAGGGACCTCACCACTCACACCTTTCCTCAACCTTATTTATCACTGGCCAGCCTGCTTACTTGTCCCTAGCACCCCCAGCCACACAGCCAGGACTGCTCTCACATTAATTAGCATACCTTTAGTCAGATTTACTCCCAGTAACCACATCTAATCATCAGTACTTCCTGACCTCTGGTCCCAAGGATCTGCTAGGCTCCTTTATTATTATTTAATTATAGACCCCTTTAAAAAAAAAAAGATAGTAGAGATGTGAGATGGCCCACAAAGGTAAATACAAGAAAATTCATTAAAGGGAAAAGTAACATGAAGCCAAGGGTGTGGTTCTCTATAGCAATTCATTCCCTGAGATCCTATTCATTTTTTTAAATTTTGTATATTGACTTTTTTTTTCATTTGTTTTTATTGAAGTTCGTTTTGCCAACATATAGTCTAACACCCAGTGCTTATCCCACCAAGTGCCCTCCTCAGTGCCGGTCACCCAGTTACCCCAACCCCCGCCTACCTCCCCTTCTGCAACCATTTGTTCGTTTCCCAGAGTTGGGAGTCTCTCGTGGTTTGTCTCCCTCTCTTATTTTTCCCTGAGATCCTATTCATTTGCTAGATGTGAGCCAGAAAAAAATGGCTCTGAGCTTCCTAGTAGCCAGTAAGGAAGGAGAGTCGCTCAGGAGAGAGATAGCTTTACCTGACACAGCAAACCAGGAAAAAAAAAAATTCATCTTCCTTCTTTTATAGGCTTCATTCATGTGATGTCTTGGTTCACTACTCTTTTCCCAATACTAGCATAGTGTCTGTCATGTAAGTGCTCAGTATATATTTATTGGCTGACTTACTGTGGGGTCCTCATAAAAGAATTAAGCAGTATAGAAAGCGGACTAAGTCCTTAAGTGTGTCTCTATTATCTACAATAAAAACAACTACAGAGGGGCACCTGGGTGGCTCAGTGATTGAGCATCTACCTTTGGCTCAGATCATGATCCCGGGGTCCTGGGATCGAGTCCTGCATCAGGCTCCCCGCAGGCAGCCTGCTTCTCCCTCTGCCCAGGTCTCTGCCTCTCTCTCTCTGTCATCAATCAATAAATAAAATCTTAAAAAAACAAAACAAACAAACAAAAAAAAAACTACA